CTATTTGGTTCTATAACAAAGTCCGCCTGCACCATAAATGTCCTCTCTGGAGTTTCGGAGAGATGAGGTGTTGAACTCCAGCTCTCAACCTTGTCTTCTTATGAGAGCACCCAACTCTCAACCTTGTCACCTTATGAGAGGTCTGTACCGAAGTGAGTGGAGTTGCCTCGGAAAAAAGCAACTATGTAATTTGAAGCACTCCAGTCCGTGGCGCAAGCTAGTATGAGAATCCAACATATACTTTGATAACCAGGGAACAGTTGCTAGTCAACACAGAGCCAATTTAGTTTTGTGCCCACTTCACAGAATTATCAGAAGTCGAAGCTGACCGAACAAAGTTTTTTTATGCGGTATCATTAATTTTACGAGGTGAGCCCAAAGACAGCTTGTGCTTTTTGTATTCTAGCTCCACAAAAAGAAGGCTGCCACTTACTTTGAAATTTGATTGCCATATGAATAAATAGATAATACTACCTCCATAGTAATACTCATCGACGGTCTTTATCCAACCAAGGTCGTCATGAGTGTGTGGGACGAGGTGCACGTTGATGATACCCTCTTTATTGCTCCAACGATTACATACCTAAAATATAATAGCATGGATTTATTGATGTTCAGAATGAAAAACTCTGTTTTATATATCCTTCACGCACCGATAAAATTTTCTTAAACCAAAAAAACCTTCACACAAAAATTTTCTAAATTTTTGTAGCAGTTCAGCGCTTAACTTATCGAACCAGATTTGAAATTTTAACGTTATATGCAAGTGAAACTTGCAACTCCAAGTGTGAATTATTCAAGTATTATATTTTTTCTGGAACCGGCTCTCCGATTAAAGATGAGCTTACCGGCAATATCGAGGTAGCCTCTGAAATATTTTCAGAAGGGCCTCCTGCCATACTATGCTTATTTATTCTCCAATAAGGAGTGTGCTACTAATTTTGAATACCGAACGGCAAATGTTCTCAAGCCTCTTAGGTGAGATTTTTCGAGAGCACGGTGATGATTCGCTACGGAGGACACTCACGTAAGCACTGCAGTTCAATGTACACGGTTCGACTATAAAAGCCAGTGACACTACTGCCAACGAACACACCCATATAGCAAAAAGCGTGGATTCTTCGTTAAAGGCGGATTTTACAATGAAAAGAGAGCCCATTGAAAACTGCGTTAGAGATGGTCAGTGATGCACAAAAAAGAAAAAAAGACAAGAAACGGCCTAGAACCCAAGAAATGGGACCTCTTCCTTGCCCGTTGATTTCCGCATTGATGCGACTCTCATCGGTGCTGCCCTCTTCAACGCTAATTCTCTCTTCTGCTTTCAACGGCTAGAGGCTCAGACAATGAGAGGGTGCGTAACGCTCCGATAGCGCGCCACAGCGCCGCTAGGAAGGCCGCGCTGGATCGCCGAAGGCATATCCTTTGACGCGAATTGCTTGCCGGTCCGCAAATTTAAGAAGTCCGCCTGTCTCTTCATTAGGTAAGCATCCACTTCCTCGACCTCCGCCCATATCGTGAAATCCTCTTTAAGGTCGCGCCACTTATTTGTCAGGCTATCGATACCGTCCGAACAAGACTTCTCTTCACCCCAAAAGAGTGCTTAATACCACTGTACAAATCACCTCATCCCGGTGCGCGTAACCTATGTACGTACTTTTCGAAGAAGGACACAGCGGTCCCTGTACGTGCATGGTACATATGGCGTGGTCAAGAAATGTTTTCGGACAAAGTGGGTAGATGGCTCAAGCACGCCGTGAAGAGAGCTTTCCGACACACCAAGAGCCAATTCATTGCTTAGCCACAGCGCACTCTTCGCGGAACCAAACGCAGCGTCATGAATTCGACGCTCCTGTCTCTCTGATATTCCCTCGTTCTTTTTATTTTCCATATTTGTAGTTAGCGCTACTAAATGGCCAGAAGTTCATTAACTTGTTCATATTTTGCATTTGGTCAATGCTACTTCTCAGTTTTCTTATCTTTAGGCTGATCTTAAGAGCTTACAGGCGATTCTTGCATTCCAAGCCCACGCCGCCGTCATCCTTCACGGTATAAAAGAGGCTCGCGGAGTGAGCAGAGGACTCTTCCTTCAGCTCGTGGTCCAGTTCCATCAACCGCAGCATTCTCCTTCTACGCCTCATTCGGGCAATACAGGAGCTACAAGCTTTTTGCCTTCCTCTGTTGATCAAGACTTGGATAACTGCCATCGACTCTGCGCCCAATAAAGGAGCTCTACATCTAAAGTGCTAAAGCTCTACATCTCTACATATAAACGACCCCTCATCCGGAGATCATCATTATTGGAGTCGACTCTCAATCACGACAATTGCGGACGGAGCCTGCAGACGAGTGTGGGGCATACCGCTTATTCTTACATCTGAATAAATATTTGTGGTACTTCTGTTTAGAACCGTTTCAGGCCCGCCTGGCGAGCACTTTAGGAACAAGAGGCACCTAATATCGGAAAGACCCTCTACCCCAAAATATTATGACGGAAGTTTCCGATCAGCGATTGTGAGAGATCGATCTACACATGCTGTAGTTAATGGCTGCGAAGTCCTTGTAAGCCTGAATTGAAAGGTATGGGTGGCGATCGAATTGGTGTGATATTTTGTTGGAAAATTAGACAAGAAGTGAAGAGGAACATTAATGGCGAAAGGGTAAAAACACCAAAAAACAATGAAATTTTTCTTGTGTGGTCGTGTGTGATACGACGAAGAGACACAGCGCTACGAGGAATGGGGAGAGTCGTACGCGAGAGGATGCAAAGGCCAGTACAATACGATTGATAAGAATGGCAGCGGTTGCAGCGGTTGAAGGAAGCGATTCCGATAAAGAGGAAAAATAGAGGAAGTGTATGCGCCACACAAAGCGGTAGCTCGGGTGCAGGAGGGTGGCTGCGCTGGTTGCTGAGCAGCACCTAAGAAGCGCTTCGCCCTAAGAGCGTTCCTCACCACTAGTTCAGTTGGCGATTGAAACAAACAGGAGGAAGTCGACTCGAACATGTATAGGCGTGGTGATACCGGACGCACTGTGGTTAATTCGTCCATAAGTCCGCTGTTTGAGCCGTTACCCGTCCGTGCGGAAAGCAACCTCTGAACAAGGGGGTCCCATTTGCGTTCCTTGACAGATTTCTCTGCTTTTTGCCACTGGCGTACCATTGAGCGCCCACGTTCCCTCCAAATCCCTCCAGAATCTAAAATAGCCGCCTTCAAACGAAGACATGCCCCCTTCCTGCGCACCTCGGTCAGGAGTCCTGCTATCTCAGTCGAGGAGAGAACTTCTCTAGGGATGTGATCGCGACCGATGCGTTTAGCTTTTTCCTTTACTCCGATAATTGCGTTCCGACCGGACTAGCACTGAAGAATGTAAGAGGAAGGAAAAGAAATAACGAATCAATTTCACATTTTTCCTTAACGGGAACACATGGCGGAAAAACCATTGATCAGAATATCATGTCTTTGAAAAGAAAAAAATCTTTGCCCGTAGAACTTGATATTGTGGCAGAAGCTATTACTTTTTGTTTCCACTGTGTTTGTTTTCATTTTTAAATTACACAATATATCGGCACAGCTTCTCGAGAGTAACGCTGATAAAAATTTAAGAAAAGTTCGGAGAGTCTTATTCGTTTGTTTCAATGATATCGAAGCGGAGTGGGTGAACTATACCCTTAAGAAGGCGATGACTCAGCGAGAATAACTCACTGAGACGAACTACCGAAAAGAAAGTCTTGTTTCGTTTTTCGGGATTTTGCCTAGTCTTTTTCACTGACCCACGATTTGGCAGTTCTACGTTCACATTTCAACGGTATCAGCTTATCGAAAGGCACGCTCCGGGAGCACACGTGTTGTCCATGCACACAAAAATGAAAGCACTGGTGCAAAGCGGCTGGCAAAGAAAAAGGAAAAAACCATCACAAACGCCAAAATTAATGGCTCGTCCCTTGTTGTGCAAAGGCGGTGAGAGACTTAGCACAGGGAGAGAGGTTAGGCGAGAGAGCGCAATGGATGAGAGTGCGCAGACATCAGCATGCTCCGAACGAGAAGGTTGGAAATGGTCGAAAAGCCCTTTGCTGGGTAATGGTGTAAGTGAAAACATAGCCTTCGACATCAAATATGTGTGAAAATTATCTGTTTGTAGACGAGAACTTGGGCTCACCTCCCATGAGCACGTTTGACGAGACTGAACGCTTTGGAAGTTGCAAAGTAACACAAGTAGTAGGAGCATCGAGATGCTGTAAATAAGTTTGAATGCGTTTTCTACGATAATATACGCGGTAATCCGAAAACGGCAAGAGAAAATTAGAGCTCACGCATAACTTTCAGTCCTGAACAAATCTCTCATTGAATTCTCAAGAAGGGATAGGAACAAACATATTCGAACAAGCATTCAATGAGGAAAAAATATAATAGAAAAAAGGAAAAAAGAAGAGCAAAGTCAGTTCACAAGTTCTCAAACACATTCAATAATAGTAAAACACACCGGATCAACAAGCATTTCAGTTCTTTAGACAAATAAATTGCCCTTTGCTCTTCACCACTTTGCTCAGAAGTCGGGTGAATGAAAGAAATCGGTGACCACTATTCCGAGAGGAGGGGGGGAGTGAGTTGTTAACCTCTTCTTGCTAGCTGAAATGGACCACGAATGAAATGGTGCCCCGGTAGCGTAACTGGTAGCGCACTTGCCCGGAAAGCGAGAGGTGCGGGTTCTAGTCCCGCCTGGGGCGAAAGTTTTGTTCACAACCCAGCATTCTTGTGAAACATTCGCAACGCGAACTGCGGCGTTAAAACAGCAGTTAACAAACAAAACAAGTCAAAATTCATTGCTAAAGCTTTCAGCCTCGCGGTCATTGCCGATATCGGCTAACCGGCTCAACACGTTAGACGTGTGAGTGCTGAAAGCTATGGTACGTATACCATGAAAAGCTGAGTTGGAATGAAATGGTGCCCCGGTAGCGTAACTGGTAGCGCACTTGCCCGGAAAGCGAGAGGTGCGGGTTCTAGTCCCGCCTGGGGCGAAAGTTTTGTTCACAACCCAGCATTCTTGTGCTCTTTCTTGCATTCAATGCCTCACTAAAGCTTGACGAATACCCCTTATACCGACTGCCCCGAGACTTTTCAAGAAAGTCGTCTTATTTGCTTGACCAATTGGTTCGCTGGAAGCGGAACTACGAAAAAAAAAACAGCAGCAGTAACCAGAACAAATTTAATGCAAACTAGCAAATATCCGATTTCAGTTTCTTGAGCTTTGACTTTTTTGTCAAAATATTTGGAGATGGTAACCATGTATTTTTTTTCTCAAAAGTACTCACTTTTTGTAATAGCACCCCAAAAAATTTTATTTCACCAAGCATCAAATTGGAATGTTGAGCCCTCTCGCATCAAGAGCGAATGACTAGAAATACTATCATATAGAAACAGAACAAACATTCGCAAAACGACCTTTATATTAGGCGACTTTAATTCGGGCGCTCATGTTCTTGAGGAAGGGGTTGGGAGCGGGGTAACCGTTACGTTCGCATTTTCCAGAAATTTCGCGAGCTTCCCCCGTCTCCCTTTGAGGATGGCCTCGATTCAATCCCCCACCACCATGTTCGATCACCAGTTCTATCCACTTTTCCCTACTTTCGTGGGACATTCACAAATCTACTTTCGCCAAATGCATCGAAAACCTGTCAAATCCCATCGAATACACCCCCCCCCCTTTTTACGACCCCCTCATACTCTTCCCAGAAGGCATATTTGGCATGTGAGGTGCTCTATTTCAGTGTTTTTGAAGGTACCCACTGCTGGGAGTTTCATTTCGAAGCCAATTCTCCGGAACTGTTGCATGCTGTACTGCATTTTGGTGCTGGATAGTACGACCAACAAAGATCACTTCCCCAGGCGCCGAAGATTTTTGT